GCCAGGCTGGTCTCAAACTTCTGACCTCGTGATCCGCCCACCTCGGCCTCCCAAAGTGCTGAGATTACAGGTGTTAGCCACCATGCCCGGCCCCAAATTCTCTTTTAATTATAAAGATATACATATTGTTTAAACAATTCAACAAGTATATTGAATAACACAGTGAAGCCTTCCCTTTACCACAATCAACCTACTGTTCTCTCCCTATCTGAGGTTCTCTTCCTACGTTCCACTGTCCCAGACTTCAGCAAAGTATCTATGTATCTATCTAGGCATCTGTCCATCTTTCCATTCCTTTCTCACTTATATATTCTGGTGGTTTCGCTCTCCATGTGGCAACTCTACACCCAGGATCAAAATGGCATCAAAGGGGAGCTTGGAACAGTGACAACCCCTACCTGAGATGTCTCCATTCCAGGGGCAAGGCTGCCTGGTGCCTGATATCCATGAGATTAGGAAAAGCAGGTGGGCTGCTGTCCACCCCTTCTATTCTCGAACGCTTGGCAGGGTTTCTGTGGCTAACATGCCAGTTTTATCGACTCCTGCACAGTCTCATGTGCTGAAGTGCCACACTACGTTCTCAGCCTGGGAGGTTTCTGGGCTCAGCTGGCTCAGATCCCATGTGTGGGGTGCATTAAGAAAAATAGGTCACCTGTATAAGACTAGTGGCAAAAATCTGACTCAGTGCTACTTCTCTGTCCTTTACTTAAAGGAGAAGCATAATTAAAATGATCCAGAAAAGAGAACCAAGCAGTAGATTGAGTTGCTTGGAGAAAGGACCACGCCACACTGAGTTTTACATGCCCAATGCCAGCAGTGCATCAGGTACACAACAGGTTCTCAATAAATTGTTAAATGGGGAACTTGAGAGAATAAAAAACAAGGTCTTTTCCCAGTGCTGCATGCAAAAGAGCTCAATTAGAGTGAATTCTTATTTGCGAAGATAAGAGATTTTTACTCTTCTGATGGCTGTTTCCTCCTGTTTTCTTTGTCACAGTTCAGGGGCAAAGAAAAGCTTCTCTCTCTCTGAAATGGGAGGAGAAACCCTTAGGGCTTAGGTAACAAATCTAAAGGCTCCCTCTCTCACATGTTTTGAGAATAGAGATATTTAACCATAGGGAGTGACTTCCTGGCTGAGAGATGGTCAGAGTGACAGAGAGCCTAGGAGCGGAGGCAGCGAAGTCTGTGAGCCGAGGGCTCTGGTTCTGGTGTCTGCTTCTTTGCCGTGTGATCTTGGGCAAGTTTCCTAAATTTTCTGCTTCTCAGTTTTGTCATCCATAAAACAGTAATAATAGTACCTGCCTCAAACAGTGTGTGGAAGAGGCTTAAACAAGCTAATATAAGTCAAATCTTGAGCACAATCCCTGGTGTAGCTATACATATGCTTGTGTATATATCAGAAACTCAAAATTATACCATTAGTATTAATAACATACTCTGGACCCTCATTATAATGCTATTCTCAATATCCCAACACTTGATTTCTATCGACAACTCCTAGGCTCAACTGTTCCTCCTACCTCAGCCTCCCGAGTAGCTGGGGATACAGCCACCACGCCTGGCTAATTTTTAATTTTTTTTGTAGAGACAGGGTCTTGCTGTGTTGCCCAGGTTGGTCTCAAACTCTTGGCCTCAAGAAATCCTCCCACCTGGGCCTCCCCAAGTGCTAGGATTTACAGGCATGAGGCACCATGCCCAGCTCCCTTCCTTTGCTCTCCTAACTCCATCTCAGCACCGGCCCCTGAGGACCAATGCAACAGGGCACTCAGTACATCTGTGAACCTCCCATCAGTCCCATGGTGGACTACCCCGGGGACAATGGTCACTATCCCCTCTGGTGCATTCTTTGTCCCCATCAGCCTAGAAAGCTCCAGGGGTTGGCAGCTGGCATAGAGTAGGAGGCTGCACTCCCTGACCTTTCTATGGTGCACACAGTCCTGTACCCATCCTGTCCTCAGAACTGCCAGGGCCATGACCAACCTGCCAAGGGCATGGGAATCTGTGTGTGAACCAGCTCTAGGAGGTGGAGCAAGAGGAATGTAGGGGAAGCTGCTGCCCCAGTAGGTTTAGAGGGAGGGTGGGGTGGGGGCGCGGCAGGGCCAGGCAGGTGAGGATGTGTGGGTGAGGGTGTGTGAGTGCCTGTCTGGCTCTCCTGGGTGGGGCTGGATGAATGTTTGGGCACAGGCAGCGGCTGTCACATGGCCTGGCTGCAGGTTTCGGACAGAAGCCAGGTAGGTGGGCTGTGTCAGGCACAGCTATAAACTGTGCCAAGGAGGCGGCCAGAGCAGGGGCCCAGGGAAACTTCTGCCTTGGCGGAAGATACTGGGGAGACAGGATGAATTGGGGAGGTCTTCCAAGGCCCATGGTGCTTCATGGAGCCAGGGCCCAGGGCAGGGAGGGCTATAACCTTGGCTTGCCTGATTGGCTGAGCACAGACAGATAGAAGGGGGTGTGGGCAGCCTGCTAGGTGAGGGGGGAATGGGTGGCCAGGTGACTGAGACCCCCAAGACCAGGACCCACTGTCAGGCCTGTGGCTTCCAAACGCCTGTGGGAAGTGTTCCCCTTTGGGCACTGAGGCCATCAGCTTCAGCTTCACACCCTTTTCCAGACAAAGTCCCTCAGGTCACCTCAAAAGTCACTTCTGGCCTTCCCCAGAGGGGAAAGGAGAGGGGTGCCTGTGGGCAAGTGGCCCTCAGCGCTGGTGGAGGGCACAGCACAGAGACTGCCTGCATGTGGGAGGCCCCCAGCAGACCTTGCCCAGATGTCAGCCCTCGTTTGAGGCAAACTGTAAAATTATTACAATTCAGGCCAGGTGCAGTGGCCCATGCCTGTAATCCCAGCACTTTGGGAGGCCATGGCAAGAGGATCGTTTGAGCCTGCAGTGAGCTATGACTACACCACTGCACTTCAACCTGGTCAACAGAGGAAGACCCTGTATCTAAAATAGGCTGGGCGTGGTGGCTCACGCCTGCAATCCCAGCACTTTGGGAGGCCAAGGCAGGTGGATCACCTAAGGTCAGGAGTTCGAGACCAGCATGACCAATGTGGTGAAACCTCTTCTCTACCAAAAACACAAAAATTAGACAGTCATGGTGCCCCATGCCTGTAATCCCAGCTACTCAGGAGGCTGAGGCAGGAGAAATCACTTGAACCCAGGAGGCAGAGGTTGCGGTGAGCCGAGGTCATGCCACTGTACTCCAGCCTGGGCGACAGAGTGAGACTCTACCTCAAAAAGATAAATAATATGGGAAAGCTATGTTCTTAACATTTTTCAAATGATAATTCATACTAAAAAAAGTTACCAATACTAATGCACAAAGCATTTCATAACTTTAGACTATTAATAAAAAGACATGAAAACTGAAATATTTGTAATCACGCTTAATATTAGAAGTTCCTATACCTACAATGTAGCAACTAATTATACAAAAATTTAATAAATGACAAAATAAAATTTTACAGATTTGTAATAATCAGAAAGAAATCTGAATTGGCAATTAATGTAACATAATTCAAATAATTTGTTATGGTCGTCTGCTAAATGCTAATTCATATAGAACATTAAAAGATTATCTTAATTATGATATCTTAATTTTTAATAGTTTTAAATATTATAAATATAAATAAGGGGTTTCTAAATTTAAAAGAATGACTAAATTTTTCAGAATTATTTTGTATTTCTTCTCATACAATATAAAAATACCATTCCGTTTCCCTTTAGAGTAGGAACCCTCCCTTATCATCTCACTGAAAGGAGAATGCTGGACAGTGCTAATAAGATGACAGTCTAAGGACTTCAGAACTGAAGGAATTGTTTCGTGATAACGCATGGCACTTCCCTAACTCAACTGGAAAAGGAGACAAAAACCTAGTGTTTCCAACCCTCAAGCTAGCAAGAAAACACAGCCCAAGTAAGCTCGTCTCTTCTCCAATGGAGCTGGAGTCTACTCAACAAGAGGTGACCATTCTGCCATGACCTTAGAATTGTTCAGAAGTTTGCTAATAATAAGCAGCCAACATAGACACATTCTCCATTAAATCTAAAATTCCCTTTTTCCCCAGAGGCACTAGGGTGTTTGAGGGGCATGTAGCAAAAGGGATCCCAACCACACCACGCAAACTAGCCAGGAAACCTTTTTGTCCTCACAGATCTGAGAGTCCCTGAGAACCCAGAGACAACACGGAGGTAGCAGGACACCAACAGGAGAGTCCCAGCATCAGTTCCTGGCCATAGAAGCCCTTCTGAGCAGCAGACAGAACAGAATCCACTACAGCAATCAGCCTGCCAGAGAAGCCTCTGCCCCTGTGGCCTGAGGTTCCACTTTCCCAAGGTGACACCATGGGCAGGTGGGCTGAAGCAGCAGCAAGGTCAAATCAACTGGCCCAGCCATGATGCCTCTTTGACCGTACAAGTGATACCAGTCTAAGCCTCGCCTCTTCCACAGGGAAAACCAGGTGACCCAAAGGGTGCCCAGAAGCAGGGAATCTGCCACAGCAGCCACCCTCCTGGAAGGTTCCCTTTCTTCCCTTTGGTGAACTCCCTCCAACACACACCTTGCCAGGAAAGCACCCTTTGTCTGACATGGGGGATTCCACCACACTGAAACCCAGCCAAAGCAGCCTTTTGTCCCTTAAGGGTTATCACAACAAAAAACAAAAAAATACACAAATAGTCGCCCCCTAAATTCTGTTAAGAATGAGACAATGCTGGCACTCACACCTGGCTCAGACACCAGCAGGAGGGCACCCTCCACAGACCGCAGGAGAAGGGGAAGGACTCCTCCTTGCCCTGGCTGCACCTCCACCACTGTCATTGAGGCCTGCGGTACAGAACCGGCAGCTTCTTACCCACTCCAGGCCAGGCTGGGCCCCAAAGTTCTCCTACTCCCCCTTCCTGGCCCCTAGACTTGCTGCTGTTGCCACCATTAGCGCCGATGCCAACGGAATCAGCTCTGCTGTCACCCTCTATGCACCCGTCCACCCTCCAAGGTTCCTACCACCTGGCCTCCATGGGTATCCTCCTACTGCTCCTGTTGAGCTGCAGTCTCCATCACCGTCACCGCCACAGCCACAGATGAATTGCAGAGCTGTGCCATCTTCAGGCTCCAATCTCCAGCTCACCACAGGAGACTCCTCCTTCACCAGCCTGGCTTGGAGCAGCTGGGCAGGCAAAGCCAGAAAAACCTACAACAGGATGCAGAAAGTGGCAGTGTCAGAGCCTCACGTTGTCATGCTGGCCACTGGGTGGCAGGGGCCAGTTTCAGCGAAGGCACTCACACCCACCCTCCAAAGTTCAGCCTCTCCTCCTGGACCAAGCTGGCCACCTGACCTGGGGTGGGGACTGGAGACACCACAGTGCCCGGGGCTCCTTGGGGAGCAAAAATAGCGGAAACTCAGACCCAGCCAGTCCTCCCCACCAAAGTACCAGTTCCCATTCCTGACTCCTCCACCCACAGGGCCCTGAGACCCCGTGGTGCCTACTACTCCATGACTGGGGCTCCCAGATGGTCTCCACAACACGGAGCAAGAGGGCAAGGGTCGGGGAATCACGGTGGGTGTGTGGGCCCTGGGGTGCTCAGGGGATTGCTGCGAAAACTCTGTGTGCCCTCGGCGCTCCAACAGGAGCAGAAGTTCACCCTCTAGAGCCTTGAGTCCGGGAAGAGGAGAACGGCCCGGGCCCTTCCTCAGAGGCCACCACTGTCGTGGCCACCTCCACAACCCGCGGCTGGCAGCAGCAGAGCAGCCCCCCTGATAGTACCCCTAACCTGCCCCGCCCAACAAGCGTAGCCCCCAGATTGTGCCCACAACACACCCAGAGACTGCTGCAGGCAGCGTAACCCTGAGAGCGCCCCCAAACCACTCCTCTGAACCCGGCAGTGTAACACTTGATAGTGTCCACAACCCATCCCTGCCACCGGCGTTGCAGCACCAAATAGAGCCCCACCAAACCCGCCCCACGCCCCGACCACAAGCAACACAGTCCCAGATAGCACCCCAGCCTGCTCCTGTCGCGGGCAGTCAACACCTGGGTTAGTGCACGCAACCAACCCCTCACCCCACTTTCCCCTTTCCCCCAGGAGCAGTGCAGCATTTGACAGTTCCCCTAAAGCACCCCCAACTGCCTGCCAGTCGGCATGGCTGCTGGCATTGTAGCCCAGGATAGCTCACCCAACCCGCCCCCTGCATCAGCCAGTGCAGCAGCTAATAATGCCCTAACCCGCGACCCGAGCCGCTGGCAGTGGACACAACCTGCCTCCAACCCCCCCACCTCAGGCAATGTAGGTCCTCAGCACAGCCAACCTGCCCCACCGCCAGCAATGCAACGCCTGATAGCGCCACCCACCAGCCCCCACAGCAGGCAGTGCAGCCCCAAAAGCACACCAAACCTGCTCCCCCACCACCCTGCAAGCGGGCAGTGCACCGGAAAGAGCGCACCTACCCTGCGCCTTTCTACCGCTCTAACAGGGCTGCTGTCTCCGTCGCCACCACCAACCGCAGCCAGGCGAGCCGCAGTGGCCAAGGCTTCAGCCGCCAGCATCAGGCACGGGCCCCACCTTCTCCTAAACCTCTAGCGGATCAACAGCAGCTCCCGCTGCCAGCCACCCTCCTACTGCTCCGGCCCCTCGCTATGGCTCTGGACCTCCTCCTGAAGCTCAGGCCGCGCTCCTACCCGTCAGGCCGCCATCAAACCGCTCCGCCCCCTCCTGCTGCTCCAGCTGCCATCAAACCCCTCCGCCGCCTGCTGCCCCTCAGGCCGCCATCAAACCCCTCCGGCCGCCTCCTACCCCTCAGGCCGCCATCACACCGCTCCGGCCGCCTCCTACCCCTCAGGCCGCCATCAAACCGCTCCGCCCCCTCCTGCCTCTCAGGCCGCCATCAAAC